GCCGATCCCTGCGAACAGCCTGCGCAATCACACTTTCACTGTCCACATTAGAGATATAACGTAACGTAACTATTGCGGGGATTTTTACTGTACTCGACAGTTTTTGCCCCTTGACTTAGGCACCAGGTTTTTTCTAGTTAGGACTTTTCCTGGTAAATACATCCCACAACAAACATCACACATTGCAACACCTCACACCATCAGCAGCAAGATTTACAGCAGCAAGTATGAATATTCTACCCCTTTCTGGACACCCTTGCCTTGTTAATCGGACGCCACATGAGCCGAATTAAAGTAAAGTTTGCTTCTCTCTCTTGCTTGGGTCAGAATTAAATAGCTGACAGTAAAGTAAAGTAAAACGAAAGATCTGGCTCATTGCCAGCCTTAGTAATTTCCCCTTCCCTGGCGGTTGCCTTAGGCATGCCGGGAAGACAAAATTAAAAAAAAAAAAAAGCGGCAGGCCGGTTTACAAATAACAAACATGACGCGCAATTGACAACAGGTAACAGATTGATTAATAAAGCGGTGACAATATAAATGAGAATGACAACATGAAATGACAAATCGCATAGATGATCCCTACAAGGCCCCTTGACAGGGTGGCCCACCCACTTTTCATGACGTTCCTACGCCCGTGGGACAAGGTCACAAGACAGTGCCATTAGCTCCGGCCAGTGCTGCCAAATCCTATTTACGGCATTGGTAAGATTGGGCCCAGGTCAGGTCACAGAGGTCAGGTCACTGAGGGTCAAAATATGAATATATCATGTGATACATATATGATCCATTTTATATGCCAAACACGATTATATGGATCAGGCAGCCTTTTGGGTCAGGTTAGATTATGTTCTGGTGAAGGTCAGCTCAAGATCAGGTCAAGGTCAGGTCAAATTAGGTCAAATTTCAAGGTTGATATTTTTGCATAAAATGGGTATCGATTCGATGCAGCTCGTCACGGGGAGTTCAATGGTGGTCTTTGTTTAGCGCTACGTGATCCAGAATTGCCAAAAATTGAGTTCAAAAAGTTGACGTCATCAATTTTGAACAGTTTTTTTTTTTGCTATAACTTGGCCAAAAAAGGACGTATCGAACTAAAATTTGGTATGTAGATAGAAGAGGGTAGGGACTATCACATATGTTCCGTTTTTTTTCGATATTTGGAAATTTTTTGGCCTTTTGTTGCGTTTAAAAAAAACAGTTTTTTTTGAATTTTTGGGGTCAAAATCCAAATTTTTTTGAAAATCCGAGATAAAAGTTTTGTAGCGCCGCCTTTTGTCTACATGACCATATAAAGAACTTTGAAATTGCTTGATAACTGTAGCTTTTGTGAGCGTTTCAAGATTTCATGTTTTTTCTTCTTTTTTTTTGCTCATTTTTTCTCGAACATGACCTCAGTTTGACCTCAATAACTCCTGACCTAAGGTGACCTAGGACTTGAAATTTTGTGTGAAGGTGTCAAATTGATGCCCGGGAAGGTACTAAAAATTTGGCGGCGCTGCCCTCCGCCGTTTTCTTGCTATTCAGGAAAAACCACAGGGGGCCAAATTGGCCCCCCAGCGGGGCGAGAGTTAACCCGCGCCCCGCTGGGCTATTCAGTCATACGCGCCCTGCTGGGGGGGGGGGGGGGGGCAGATTCCGAACCGCTGGTCGTAGAAAGACGGGGAAGACGGCAATCGAAAGCTCTCAACAAGGCGGATTTTAAGAGCCCATTTTTTTTGCTCAAGTAGGTCAGAGGTCAGTTCAAGGTCGGGTCAAGGGTACAAAATGCAAGTTTCTACAGTATCGGCCTTGCACCGTAGTCGCCGAAGAATGGACTGAGACTGATTGCCCAAAATGTGTTATTTGGACTTTGGCTACCAAGACAATATTCGTTGCATACAATATCATTCAAAGGTCAAGGTCAAGGTCAGGTCAGGTCAGGTCACCAAAAACAAAATATAGAAAATGGCATGTGCAACACGTTTTATGGGTCATTTTATTCATAGAATTCAATAGGCACACTCAATAAGTGATATGGACCACCTCTGGATGAAGTTCAGGTCGAGGTCAGGTCAAGGTCAGGTCAAGTGAGGTCGCATTTTTAAGTTGGTTGTTAAGGCCTAAAAAGGTGTCTATCTGATGCAGTTTTTACGGCGAATCAAATGGTGCTATTTTTGTTTCCGTACGAGGCCTAGAACTTTAAAAAATATCATTTTTCACAAATTTTGTGTGTCGTGACGTCATAAAATTCTGAATAACACCCACATTTTTTAACCCATTCTTCTAAAAATTGGTATATAGCCTAGGTGCACATAGACCACTTCTCTGACATCTGTTCTGTTTTTTTCGATACACTCACAATTTTGGATTTTATCATTATTTTCCAAAAAAAAAACTCAGTTTTTTTTAAGAAAAAAATGGGCCGAAATCCAATTTTTTCAAAAAACCGAGATTGCCATTTGATAGACCAAGTAGAATAATATCACGTATAACCTTTTTTCTTGCGTCTTGATTCCTTTAAAAATGAAGATGTTAGCGGCGTTTGAAATTGTACCGTTTTTTTTTTAGGCGAAAATGGCGAACATGACGTCACTAAAACGTCATTTTCTGAAAAATTTCCGACGGATTTTGCTCAAATTTTCCGGAAACGTGTCAAATTGATGTATGATAAGGTACTGAAAGTTTGACGTCGCTGGCGTAGCGCATTTAGAAGTTATTGGCGAAAAAACGGGAGGGGCAGATTCTGCCCCCCCCCCCAGCGCGGCGGGGCGCGGGCTAAGGTCAGGTCAATTTTGCGGCCTCTCCATTATAAGTAAATGGGAGAAAATTGAAAAGCATCCGTTTTGCACGAACGCTATTCTAAACACTCTCAAACATCGAGATGTAGGTAAAATTGACACACTGAGCCGGAAAATGGCAACTGTGACCCCTCGTTATGTCCCCGAGGTCATCTCAGGTCACGAACTGAATCTAACAGTTTTTCGCTAATATTTTCTGATAGAGGCGTGCTAGAGAGCTGAAAACGCCTTAGATGTGTTCGGCTCGACGTTGCGGATCGACTGATATGCAACATCACCTTTTCCGGTCAGGTCATGACCTTGCCCTGAGGTCAAATTTTCAAGTTGACCTTTCAAGGTCAAATTATAGTTCATTCGACGCGTCTCGACGAGAGGAACACGATGCTGGCAAAAGTAATGTCATGGCTCTTTTGGGTCAAAGTTATTACCAAAAAAACGCTTTTCGTAAATACGGCTATTTTTGGAGTTTTTGCCCTCAGGAGGCTTAACCGTTGACCTGAGGTCAAATCTGAGAACATTGCACAGAAAGGTCTGTAAAAGGGCTATCGAATGCGCTTTTCCGCGGCGCTGTAGCTCTATCGGTTCCCGAGTTCCCGAGATATCATAATTTGTTATGATAAAGTATAATACAGCCCTCTGCAAACTGCGTGGTAGGTATTCTTTTTTCGACAAAACCGAGAATATCGCGGATACTATGATATCGGTCACTCGGAAATCGTAACAGCAAGACGCGCGAGACTCCGCACCTTAGATGGACATTACCATCGTATTCATTTTCCATCCAGTTAAGCAACAAACCCAAAAGTTTATATTTGCCCCCAAAACAAACTGTTGCATTTTGTTGCTACACAAAGCATATACTTTGTTTAGTGATAGACCCAATCCAAGGAGTGGAGCATGGTGCCTCTATTTGCAATGAATTCCGACCGACAGATCACATAGTCTTTGAGTTATTACCGGTTTTGTCGAAAAAAGAATACCTACCACGCAGTCTGCTGAGAGCTGTACCTATTTGTTATGACCTTTTCCTCGAGTCGATAGTGTCGAAAAAGTCGAAAGTGATGTATTCTAAAGAGTAAATTTTCCAAAAATTCGCTCATTAGAATACATACATCACGTTCGACTTTTTACATTTCTTAATTCGAGGAAAAGGTCATAACAAATAGTTATTAGGTAAGTATACTTGATGTTAGGAAGCAGGAGTCGGAGTTAGAGTAGGACTCACCGGAAATGGGCTCATCAGCCCTGATTCCAAGTGCTGCAATAACTGTGCAGTATTCATAGGGGGTTCGATTTTCAGTGAATAAGTTATCCAAAAATAGCAGTTCCGCTCTCCGGGATTTTGACACCACCGTGGTCATCATTTTGTAAGGCGCTGTGAATGGATTTGTAGTTCTAGTGAGGTCATGACTAAAGGGTCACCTCTGTTCTAGGTCACCAACTCTGAGGTTGTTATGCCTGTGTTCCTCGTTTTTTATTCTACTCTACTCAATCGATCTAACTTCGATCTGAACAATCCTTGAATAAACAATCCCATGTGAAAATGTACATTTGATAAATCCTTTCAATCAATCATATCCTAATTCGTTCCCTTACTCTGCTGACTCAGCAGGGAGCAACATTTTACCATATACTTAAGTAAAATGTCTTCCAGACACAAGTGGATAATTTGTGCGAATAAATCGGCTCGTTTTCACCACGCATTACGGCTGTCATGCTGGTGCTAAGTGTTGCTTTCTGTAGCCTCAGGTGTGTGGTCGACTTGTTATCTGAATAATTTTGCAAGGGACGTAAGGTGTTTAGGTATAGTATACAACGTCGCTCTACCTATAACGGAGAAAAGTATTTACTCCCCGAAGGATTTACAAACACCTTATTTCGGAAACTCCTTTTATGGGTGTTCATATGCCACTAACTTTGGAGTATTCCATGACGAGACAGAGTAACTTAAGTATCTCACTTGATGTACCAGAGTAAACGAAGGAGCCTGGGAGTTCTCCTACTCCTCATGCATAACTGTTTGGAGTATTGAAACCCGGTAAGATGGAGTTTAATGGATAAAACTAAAAAACAAGGCGAAAATCTACTCCAATATAGGTACTATATTTGGGACGTCAGAACCCCACCTAGCGGAGTAAACATTTTTCTCCGTGACCATAAGGCAACAGAACCCTGTGCCGCGTAGTTAAAACACGTCCGATTGAATTCCGTTTTATTATCCGTCATTTATATCTTCATCGGGGGTCGAAACAATTTAATTAGCTGCACAGATGATTAGCGAGGTCCGTGATTTTCAATGCGTCGAGCACAGTGAGAAAAGATGGTGTAGGTATCCAGAAAGAGGCGAACTCAACCGCTGCCGCCCACGGTCAATTCTAGCAGCGGCGTAGCTGAAATGAAAGGCGTGATGCGTGAGGGGGGTCGATGAGAATGCTGCGAAGCACAACGAATGAGAACCACATCATAATAATGATCAAAATATAAAGAGAATCTTTGAATTTATCATTCACCTTTTATCTATTTCCTTACTCGTATGTATAGGTACACCCCTGACTACAAATAATTAAGTTGAAGTGCATTTAATTCAGTGGTTCTCTTTCATCTCGCAAACCGTAAAACGCGTTTCCTGTACAGTCAGTCTGAAAAGTACCACGCAACAGTGCGGTACTTTTAAGACAGACTACACCGTGAAAGGTGTTATAATGCAACCTACCTAAATAGTGTGAGTTCTACTTCACGTACCTAAGAAAACATCACAAAGTTTGACAACATTTAAATAAAAGCTATCTCCGGTGTGATGTGATAGAATCAAAATGCAAAAATAAGGTGCCTCATAATTTTTCTCTTCTATTTATTGTTTTGCTGTATACCTTTGGAAGTCGATTAGTGTCGTTGGCTCGATCGCGTTGTCTTTTCTAAATTTGGTAGCGTGATGTGTAAAGGCACCTTTTTTGCAACAACTGTAACAATTAAGCCCTTTTCACACGCAGATATATGACACCGAACTCACCAGCTCTGATTACAGGTGCCCCTATGCACACCCAGTAACCACCCGACTCGCACCGGGCTCTGCAGGTCCTCTGCGACACCTCTGCGCCGGGGGCGTACACGCGACCGCCGTACTCACAGCCTGCGCATAAACAGTAGTCAGGTCAGCTGCTTACCATGTCTTAGTAGTCGTAGCTGGCTACATAGGTATGCCAATATTTGTGCTTACGTTACTCATTGGGAGAGTTTTAGACAAAAGCTGGCGAGACAAAATATTGCTTGGAATATCAATTATCATATCAAAAAGTTAAGCATGTATATACCACCTGGGGCATTCCACGTCAAATCGAACAAAAATCGGCTGTTTTGCACCTTACCATCAGCGATTTCATTATAAATTTGTGAGCGAGTTCCTGTGTGGCCCCGGACATTACATTGATGTTTTTTGCACATTCTGACCACAGGTCTTCTAAATATAGGGCATCAAATTTTTGCAAAATGTTGCATCTTTATATTTTTGAACGACCATAACTTTGGTTGTACTTGTTTGATTTGAATGAAATAAACCTTACTGTTTAGGTAATTTCTTAAGCATTTGTTTAGAATTGCACCTACTTAAATATATGACCTTGAAATTTGCTTAACTCTGTTCTTAAGCACAAATATTGAAATAGCAAAAAACACGTCACCTTCGATTTGGCTCATTTTCATATATTTTATTGCCTACCATATTCTTAACAACCTGTGAAAAAATTAGAGTGGGCCATTCATAAGTTTTGAAGAAAATTGCACATATGCAAACGTATGTTAGCACGCGCAGCGGAGGGGGAAGAACGAATTTCGCCCACCCCTCCTGTTTTTCGCCAATATCTCATAAGATTAATGCGAAATTATTTATGGCTACCTGTCAAGAATTGAATTGGACATCTCATCGTGCAAGCAATAAGAAAATCGGTTCACAACTGTTCTAGTAATAGCGGTGTAAAGTGAACATCCTGTCGCCGCAGCGACGCGGCGACTCGGCAGCCGGCGCCGACCGCTACGCGCCGCCTGAATTGTAGACTGTGCCGGGACGGAACGGAACGGTTCCGTCTTTACATCGCGCTCCCTACCGCTGATTACGTTCGATTCGCGTCAAATTTTGTGAGAAGACTAAAAAATGTACAGGCAATCTTATGGTGAAAGAATTTTGAAAATCGGTTGGTAAACAATTGAAATATGAACGTGTAAACACAAAATTGTGATTGCTGCGTTTCCCGCATCGGCCGAGCCCGCCTCAGCCGGCGACATGTTACTCTTAGCAGGCCTCTAACTGCCATATTTATTATTGGATTAACTAGAAATTCCCCATACATACTAAAAAATGTATGTTCTTTCTTATAGTGAAGATCAAAAGACGTGAAGATATCGTTGCGTGATAATGTTTTCGTTGAATTTACTTCATAATGCATTTCCACACGGCTCAAAATTCACCGCAAAATACCGTTTGCCTGAGACACTTTTACTATGGAACGTGAATGATTCACTACGATGACTATGCATTTCCATTCTCGCAGAGTTTGGGATATCACTAATCAGCAATCATTCGTTTCAGAAAGTGTACACAAGCAAGCATTTCTTGACTCTGTCTTTCAAGGTCACGCGCGGTTGCGTGATGTTGATGCAGGAAAACGGCGTTTGCCGCGAAAGTTATGAATGGCCCACTCCAATTTTTTCACAGATGGTTAGGAACATTGTGACGGACATAATATGTAAAAATTACCCAAATCGAAGGTGACGTGTTTTTTGCTATTTAAATTTTTCTGTTTTAATTCAAGGTCAAATGCATTTCAAGGTCACTTCAATTTGATTTGATAATTAAAAATCAAAGCCTTATCAATTGCCTATAAGACCTTGTTAATATCATTTTGATACCAGAAAAGGAACCAGAGTTATAGCCATTTAAAAAATTGATGTATGGCATTTTTCGCTATATTCGATGCCCTATATCTCAGCGATACGTTATCAAATTTCGAAAATATTATACGTAACTCAGTTTTGAACCATGCCCAGTCTGCCTACAAATTTCCAGAAAAATCGAAGGGGATGACGGATTTCGGTGTTTGATTTGACGTGGAATGCCCCACCTATGAATGGTTATTGCACTTGTTGAGGCTATAGGATTGATGCTGTGACTGGCTTGTTGGGCTTGTCATTTAATTCGTTAAGTGCTAGGCTTGTCATTTATGTTCAAACCATTGGTTTTTTTCTGTTCTCCACTATCAGCCGCCACAGTTAACGATCAGAAATACTCACACCCGCAGCCGGCGCTGATGCTGTTGATTGACACGACGCCGTTTGTGCATATAGCTTCGTAGCATTTTTGTGCGTTAGCCTCAAGTATGGCACCGTTCAGGAATATTTGCGGCGTGCTGCCGAAAGCGCACGTCGAACCTGCAGTAATGCAGTACATAGATTCATTAACAGGGCAGTGGATTATTGCAAAAGGCGCCCCAAAAGGCGTTTTACTGGTATCTAATTAATTATAACATTGAAGCATTAACATTGGGCATAAACTAGTACCTATAGTAGTGTTTTAGAAGCATCCAGAAAAGTTGCATTGGACGCTGCGGGACACTCTCTCCAATAAACTTTTCTCAATTCTGAAAACCTCACGGATCTCGCCTCCATAAATATGCCATTTTGTGCAAAATGTAGGTATAAACCGAGGTGCTATAAATTTATGCAAGATGATATATTTTTAATCCTTCTCTAATTAATTGCAATGTGTAAGCACTCTCACCTTTCAGGGGCTCTCCTACACAGTAGGAAACGAGAAGAACTGCGACGATCGCTTGAAAAGCATGACCAAACATTTTATCTTCTATGTCGGTGCCTCTGGGCTGCTACTTTGACTTAAAGGCTGTAATAAAAGAAGGATACATTCCGAGAAAAAAATATCAGACCTACGCGATGCATTGAATATTACAGTACATTTTAATGGAATAACCGGTTCAAAATTTTAAAAATTGAACAGAATTTTAAGAATTTTAAAGAGAAGGTTATTCCCATAGAGATCTTATGATCTCTATGGTTATTCCATTGAATATCGTACATATAACGCTGTTCACCAGAGTGCTTCGTCGTTTGATTGCAATTACAGTACATTTTCCCTAAAATCTATTTTTCATGCAAAGTTTAATGAAAAAATAAAGTGCATAAAGCGTATCCGTATCCTAGATACAAGTACGAGCCTAACACTCAAGCGTAAAGCTTTGTATGTCGAGCACTTTTGCCTTTATGTCGACGTATATATTTAAGCGGTATCATAGCGTGTGTCTTTGGTTTGAATCTACCCTCACCTGACGGTTGACGCTCGGGCGGCCTGCCTGCAACTGACTGCGGTCGGTGCGTATCAGGTCATACCTATACCTGTCGGGGGTCAACCATGACAGGTGTCATTACATAAGGAAGCATGATTATGTAGGTAGACGTTGACTACCAACTCGTGCTTTGTAGGAAGCGAGACAGGATAAGTCACCGCTTGGACACCCGTGCCTATATACGCTGACTTCTTTCACTCTTCCACTCTCCTCTTTTCCCTATTTCTCCCTCTCGCTTCTCTTCCTCTCTCTCTCTCTCTCCCTCGCTCTCCCTCTCTCTCTCTCCCTCTCGCTCTCTTCCTCTCCCTCTTTCTCTCGTTTCCTCTCTATTTCCTCATTTCTTTTTCCCACTTTTACATTGTGCCTCTTTCCCATAGGCGCGGGAACTACTTTCAGACTGGGGGGGCACACCATAATGGAGATCAACCTAGGGTACCCCTAAATCTAGTTTTCTCACCGGTTTTAGGCCACTTATTTTTCAACCCTTGGCTTTTTCAACAAAAAAATAAAAACATTTGCAAAAAAGTGCGGTATTTCGTCTCAAAGTTGTGGGGGCACCGCCCCCACGGCCCTAGAGTTGGGGGGGGCAAGCTGCCCCCACTGCCCCCCCGGCTCCCGCGCCTATGCTCTTTCCAATAGCTCAGGTACTTGCCACTTGGTAAATAGGTATACTCGTACAACAGCCTCCGTACCTACCACTCACAAAAGTTCCATTTGCTTGAAAAAAAACTTATCTATAACTTGGTAGGTACTCGTGTCCATTTGGTATTTAATTTAACATAATTATGTTGGTAACTCACAACTGTACGGCTATCCAAGCCTTCTTAGACTATGTTTAGTGTAATTGTTTTGTGTATGAGCGAGCGAGAGATGGAGGTCCTAGAAAACGCATCTTAGTTATAAAGTTAGTCCGAACCTTTTGATAGTGAGAATTCACAAGGACAGAGCCACTGCTAAGCGAAGCTTGTTGGGGTGACCCTGCCCTCTACCCTCCGATCGCGCAATTCCAGTTCTGTGGCAGAATTAAGTTTAACGTGCGCACATAGCCGCGCACGGCCGGTCCCCTCACTGACTTCGCCTGGCTACGGCCTGCCAAACCGCAACCATACCTGTCAGGAGGCCCATAAATGTCAAGCGCCCGTCGCGCTTCGAACCCGGACTATTGCGGACGCAATATTAGACGCTCAATCATTCGTCTTGACATGTATTTTAAGTTAGACTGACGCGTAAATAAAACAAATTAATAACTAACAAAAAACATCCTGAAAACAGCCAAAACAGATGAAAGTATTTTTGCGTCTGACCTTAAAAAAGGTCAAAACGTATAAATTATGCTCCGCGAGAAAAGCCACGTGAAATAACACATTTTGTTCAGAAGAAACTAAAAATGTTTAGGGCACTTTCAGAGGAACAGAACTGAAATTATCGCCTGGAACTAAAATAACGTTTAAAGCACTGACAAAAATATGTGAATTCGTAACATCCCGGCCTCTCTAGACCAACGCGTCTAGAACATCACAACGATTCACATATCACACGTCGCACGATATATTTACAGCCTCGACAGCATCTCGAGGCGTTAGAAGTGCCACGTCGATTGATGGCCCTGTCAGTCTCACATTCTCAGCTTTCGCTAGCTTTGCCCTCAGCATCATCTTTGCACCACCATCAGTCTGGTACAGGCCTCTTCAAGACGTTCAGGACAGCCAGCTTCCTCACGGACCGGTGCAGCCTTCCGTGAGCGGTTTTGATGATGGCGGAGCGCACGATGCCGTCTCCACCCACGTAGACCCTCTCCACGATTCCTCGTGGCCAGAGTCCTCTGGGATGCTGATGATCGACGATGATGACGACATCCCCCACCTTGACGCTGCTAACCTCCCTTCTCCACTTGGTACGTTTTGCCAGTGTCGGAAGGTACTCGCGTACCCATCTTTTCCAGAAGTGATCAGCCAGCCGCTGAGCCTGCTGCCACCGCTTTCTTAGACACTTCACGTGGCCATTGATTCCCACCGGGTACGACGGGGTGGCTCTTCCAATAAGGAAGTGATAAGGGGTCAAAACATCTTCGTCGTATGGATCCACTGGAACATGGAATAGTGGTGTTGAATTCATCACCTTCTCTACCTCGCAGAGAAGTGTCGCGAGGACTTCATACCTCGGCTTCTGCTGATTCAGCAAAGCACTCAGGGTCTGCTTCACTGTCCGGATGTGCCTTTCCCACACTCCTCCGGCCTCTGGATCACCAGGTGGATTGAAGTGCCACTTGATGCCTTCAATGCCCAACTTCTCCTTCATCGTTTTCTGGTCAATACTCCGGAGAGCTGCGTCCAGTTCTTTGCTTGCTCCCTTAAAGTTTGTGCCATTGTCTGACCACATCTCCTTTACGTTGCCGCGTCTGGCCTGGAAACGAGATATAACCAGGAGTGCGCTGTCTGTGTCGAGCCGATCCGCGAGTTCGAGATGAACGGCCCTTGTAGCGAAGCATCGAAATATAACTCCCCACAGCTTCATAGTGGTCCGTCCTTGGACAGCGTGTAGAGGACCAAAATAGTCCATACCAGTTGCCAAAAAGGCACCTCCTAGCATTGAGACCCTCGGCGTCGGCAGCGGAGCCATCTTGGGTTGGCATGGCTGAACTTTGCGGTTCTGACAAGTCTGGCACCTTGCGGCCACTTTTCGAATTTCTCGAGCGGCTTGAGGCACCCAGCACCTCTGTCGGAGCTCCACCAACACCGCGTCATGTGCTCTGTGACCCATTTTTTCATGCAGATGCTGTATCAGAAGTTGTGTATACGGGTGGTCACGAGGCAGGATCGGTGGATACCGAGCTGTGTTATCGATGTGAGGGCAGCGCTTCGTTCGAGTGTCGAAGCAGATCAGTCCGTCCTTCAGCACCGGCGAGAAGCCGTTCAAGGCGCTCGTGCTTGCTAACGGCACGCCTCTCTGCATGTCCTGTAAATCAGAGGCGTACTTCTCCCTCTGGACCAGCTTCATCCACATCGTCTCAGCTTCGCTGAACTCGGCGGCTTCTTCTCGCTTACGTTTCAAGGCGATGTTTCTCCAGCGCAGGATCACCGCAACAGTGCGGACGGCGACTGACCAGCGTGAAAAACGCGCTGGGTCTGGCATGGCCTGTCGAACGTCTGTGCTTGTTTTGGCAGATGACGCACACACCAGTTTCGTTTCTGGGTCGTTCCGCAGCGTCTCTGCGACTGATGTCGTGCTGTCCCAAAGCCACTCCTCTTCCGGGGTACGGAGGAAATCGGGGCCAGACATCCATGGACCATTTCCTCGAAGATCTTCGAGGGCGTGGCCTCGTGAACCGCCGTCTGCAGCGTTTAGCTCTGACGGCACATAGCGCCACTGGTCAGGGCTGGTCGACTCACGAATTTCAGTGACTCTGTTTGCGACGAACACGTGATATCGGCGGTCGTCTGCTTTAATCCATGCCAGGACGTTTCTGGAATCTGACCAGAGAGTGGTTTTTGTCACTTTTAGTCGAGTTTCCAGCTTCACGGTCTCTGCTAGTCTTGTTGCCAAAACGGCGGCCTGTAGCTCTAGCCGAGGGATCGTGAGCGTCTTTGCCGGAGCTACACGCGACCTCGCGGCCACGAAGCTGACTCTGAAATGATTCTCCTGTATCCACCGATAGTAGAGTACAGCACAAAATCCCTTTTGGCTGGCGTCGCAAAAAACATGCACTTCAACGCTGTCGATGCCGGCCTCATGATCAAACATGTGTCTTGGGATTCGGATCTGGTTGATTTGTTCGAGCTCTCGCGTCCAATCTTGATACGGTTTCTCCCACTGGTCGGGAATCGGAGTGTCCCAGCCCAGCTCCTGCTTCCACAGCTGTTGCAGCAGAACCCGCACAGTGAGTAGCCACCCGGACAGGAAACCGAGAGGATCGAAGACGGACATGACATGAGAGAGCACTGTCCGTTTTGTGACTGTTTCTGGTGCCGGCTTGGCCTTGTAGATGATTTCATCAGTTTCTGGGGTCCATATTATTCCCAAGGCCCGTTGTGCCATGCTTTTATCGCCGAGACTGACGTCTCCGGAGGCACGAAGCACAGGTTGGAGAGCTTCAAGAACCTCTGATGAATTTGATGCCCACGGTCCGAGCTCGAAGCCTCCACATCTGAGGGTAGATGTGAGGTCCCGGATGAGGGCTGACGCCTTCTCGCTGGTCTCAGCGCCAGTGATAACGTCATCGACGTAGGTGTCATGGAGGATGGCGGCTACAACATCATGGTTATCTTTGCCAAACAGTTGACCCGTCTTTCGAAAGCAGTACCCAGCCGTACTGGGGGACGACTTGGACCCGAAGATGACCGTATTCGATTCATACGTATCGAATGGTCCTTCACGACGTCGACCGCGCCAGAGAAAACGAAGACTGGCTCGGTCTGACGGCTCCACCTGAATTTGGCTGAACATTGCGACCACGTCCGAAGTGATTCCGATTGGCTTTTCTCGCCAGCGAAGGAGAATGCCAGGAATCGAATTGA